AGTATTCTCCAAACTAGTCTCCAGTGGGTAGGTGAGTGGGGGGTTGTGATGGTAATAGAGGAGGAATATTGTAGCTCTTCTGTCACTGAGCTCCAAATGTCAGCCCCAACAGCCATCATAGTCACAGTCAACTCCAGTATGTATGATCCTGGCCTAACCATTGAGTTCACCTGGGAACTTACGTTAATGTAGTTATCTGGCATGAGCTGCTATCATCCTGTTTGATTTGAGCTACAATGGTTGCCATTGTATTTCTAGCTTAATTTGAGATACTACTTTGGATATTTACAGACAGGTTCTGTGTCCATAGATTTGACTAACCATGGCTTGAAAATGTGCCGGGGGGGGGGGGGGGAATCCAAATATCAAAACTTGATTTTGCCATGCGTCAAGCACTCCACTGATGTGTAGGCAGGCATACCTTATTGTAGCCTCCTGCTATTTCACCAAACCTCAGGCTCCCTTTGACATTCATTTCAATTGTTTGCCATATAAAATATAGAACACTTTTTTACAATGCCAAACTTGAAGTGTCTCTGGTGTTGCCGCAAGGAGGTCCTCCATTGTGTGCGAACCAAACTTCGCACACAGAACTCTCATGACCAACAGAAAATACTGGAAGGGTTTGATGGGCATTGATCTTGACTTTTGGAGTTGTAGTTCACCTCATCCAGAGAGCACTGTGGACTCAAACAATGATGGATCTGGACCACACTTGGCACAAATACTCAATGTGCCCAAATATGAACACTGGTGGAGTTTGCGGAAAATAGAGCTTGACTTTTGGGAGTTGTAGTTGCTAGGATTTATAGTTCACCTACAATCAAAAAGCATTCTGAATCCCACAAACGACAGAATTGAGGCAAATTTCCCACACAGAACCCCCATGACCAACAGAAAATACTTAAGGCCATCCAGTCCAGCTCTCTTCACCAGGGCAAGAAAATGTTATCAGAGCCCTCCTGACAAAGAGCCATCCAGTCATAAATATAGATAGATAGATATGATTTACACAGATATAATATCATAGATTTGAAAGGGACCCCTAAAGAAGGGCTATGATATGTTGCATATTCCAGAGTAGGAAAACTAGACACTCTCCACATCAACACTGACAAAGAAACAAGAAATACTGTTTAGCCACAAGCATAAAGGAATTACATATATTAGAAACCAACATTTTCTCATTACTTTATTTTCCAGATCACTAGACTGGGCCACAGCAGCGCGTGGCAGGGGATGGCGCTATATATATATATATATATATATATATATATATATATATATATGTTGTTACTTTCAAAGAATTTTAAAATGTTCCTAAGGCAGGATTTATCTTTTTAGAACCCATGTTCTGTCTTCCATAGAAAGGTGGTTTTCTGTATGAATAATAACTTTATCTTCAATAATGCTTTCTTCCAGTTTACCTTTTCCGGATATTGTGTAGCTGATTTTCATTTCCTGGATACTCCATGAATGCCTTTTAAAAAATTGATTGTTTTTTCTTTCTCACGGCTAAAAGTCTCATCATAGGGGAAAATTAAATACTGGCTTAGCATCCCCTAACTGGATTTCCAAAATTTGAAATACTCCAAAAGCTAAAATAGTCCATTTAGTTAGCTGTGATAGTGACATCTTTGTTTTCTGGTCACTTAATGTACATAAGCAGAGTTATATACAAAAATGTGTTCAAAATATTGCGTATAAAATTAACTTCAGGCTATGTGTTTAAGTTGCATATGAAACATACATGCATTTTGCCTTGAGATTTGGGTCCCATCTCCAAGATATCTGATTATGTGCATATATGCAAATACAGGTATTCAAAAATCTGGATGGGGGATCAAAAGCCAAAATAACTTGATCCCAAGCACTTCAGATAATAGTTACTGAAACTGGGTGTCTGTAAAGTCTCTTTAGCATTTAAACAATTTATTGTGAAAGCAAATGAATGCCTCATCATACACATTTAACAGTACCTTTTTCATCAACAGGGTACCTAAAAAATACAAATGCAATGTGATTAAAAACTTTGATAACCACTGAGTGGATAAAATAAATCTGATTAAGATATTTCATCAATTGCCTTTGTAATATTTTTAAATGATTAAGAAACTTTATGGGCACCCCATATATATAGATAGATTTTCATTTTGTTATTGTTAATTATTTTTTTGTATTTGTATTTTACCATGTTGGATTGTATTTTTAGAAGGGCTTGGCCTCATGTTAGTTGCCCCGAGTCCCCATTGGGGAGATGGTGGCAGGGTATAAATAAAGACTATTATTATTATTATTATTATTATTATTATTATTATTATTATTATTATTATTATTACCCGTCCCCTGCCACATGTTGCTGTGGCCCAGTCTGTGTATATGTATTTTGTGTGTGTGTATGTGTGTACATATTTTGTGTATAAGTGTATATATGTGTGTTTGCATATATATGTGTGTGTGTGTGTGTGGTTTTGTAAATGCATTGGAATGTATTTTTAAATTTTTGGCTTTTTAAGTCCCTTCTGTTGTATTTTCCAATGTTTTTATTACTGATGGTCACTTGTTGACCTGATAGGTGTATTGTGTCCAAATTTGGTGTCAATTCGTCCAGTGGTTTTTGAGTTCTCTTAATCCCACAAACAAACATTTCATTTTTATTTATATAGGCTAGATGTCCCCTGCCACACGTTGCTGTGGCCCAGTCTGGTGATCTGGAAAATAAAGTAATGAGAAAATCTTGGTTTCTAATATATGCAATTTCTTTATGCTTGTGGGTAAACAGTACTTCTTGTTGTTTCTTTGTCAGTGTTGATGTGGATATTGTCTAGTTTGCCTACTCTGAAACATGCAACATATAGTTGTCCTTCTTTAGGGGTCCCTTTCAAATCTATGATACTATATCTGTGTGTGTATGAATCATATCTATCTATATCTATGTCTGGATTGTCGGGAGGGTTTTGATTACGTTTTCTTGCCCTGGTGAACGGAATTGGACTGGATGGCCTTAAGTATTTTCCGTTGGTCATGGGGCTTCAGTGTGGGAAGTTTGCCCCGATTCTGTCGTTGGTGGGGTTCAGAACGCTCTTTGATTATAGGTGAACTATAAATCCCAGCAACTACAACTCCCAAATGTCAAGATTCTATTTTTCCCAAACTCCACCAGTGCTCACATTTGGGCATATTGAGTATTCGTGTGGAGTTTGGTCCAGATCCATCATTGTTTGAATCCACAGTGATCTCTGGATGGAGGTGAACTACAACTCCAAAACCAAAGGACACTGACCACCAAACCCTTCCAGTGTTTTCTGTTGGTCCTGGGAGAACTGTGTGCCAAGTTTGGTTTAATTCCATCATTGGTGGTGTTCAGAATGCCCTTTATTTGTAGGTGAACTATAAATCCTAGCAACTACTACTCCTAAATGAAAAAAGCATTTTTTCGAGTGAAGGACATACATTGGGTTGTTAGGTGTCTTGTGTCCAAATTTGGTGTTAATTCGTCCAGTGGTTTTTGAGTTCTGATAATCCCACAAATGAACATTACATTTTTATTTATATAGACTAGCCATCCCCTGCCACACGTTGCTGTGGCCCAGTCTGTGTATATGTGTTTTGTGTCTGTGTATATGTATATATTTGTGTATATGTGTATATGTGTGGTTTTGCGCATGCGTTGTAATGTTGTTGGGGTTTTTTTTTTGCTTTTTAAGTCTCTTCTGCTGTGTTTTTCAGTGTTTTTATGAGTGAAGGTCACTCATTGACCTGTTAGGTGTATTGTGTCCAAATTTGGTGTCAACTCGCCCAGTGGTTTTTGAGTTATGTTAATCCCACAAACATTACATTTTTATTTATGTAGCAGAAGATCTAATTGTGACGTCATCATCAGGTTCGCAGGTTGGGAGTGATCCTGGACTCATCGTTGAGCCTGGAGCCCCAGATTTCAGCGGTGGTCAGGGGAGCTTTTACACAATTAAAACTTGTGCGCCAGCTGCGCCCGTACGTTGGGAAGTCTGACTTGGCCACGGTGGTCCACGCTTTGGTTACGTCCCGTTTAGATTACTGCAATGCTCTCTACGTGGGGTTGCCTATGAAGACTGCCTGGAAGCTCCAACTAATCCAACGTGCGGCAGCCAGAATGCTAACACGAGCAGGGTACAGGGAGCATACTACTCCTCTGTTGCGTCAGCTCCACTGACTGCCAATTAGCTTCCGAGCCCATTTCTAAGTGCTGGTGTTAACCTATAAAGCCCTAAACGACTCAGGCCCAGTTTGCCTGTCCGAACGTATTCTCCCCTATGAACCATCTAGGTTGTTAAGATCTTCTGGAGGGGCCCTGCTCTCTGTCTCACCGGCCTCTCAGGCACATCTGGTGGGGACGAGGGACAGGGCCTTCTTGGTGGTGGCCCCTCGACTCTGGAACTCTCTCCCACTGAAGATCAGAACTGCCCCCTCCATTCTGTCGTTCAGAAAACGGGTGAAAACCTGGCTATGGGGTTTGGCTTTCGACGAGTGAATCAATATTTCTGTGATCGGATAGATGACGATGAATGATGGACAACGAATTCACTATGACGACTGACCATTGTTATTATGTGATTGCATTTTGCTGTTATAACGTTTTAATTGAATATGTTATATGATGTTTTTAATGATTGTTTTGTGATTTTGTTGTTGGAAACCGGCCCGAGTCCCCTGATAGAGGGGAGAAAACCGGTATACAAAATTGCTAAATAAATAGAACTTATTTCTCTTGCCCGAACCAATCCGTAAAGGTATATTGCACAATTTGTTATCATGTAGGGCTTTGGGGAATAGATTGGGCATTGGAATAGGAAGACTTCAAGGAAAACCTCAAAAAGAGAGCTTTGGGATGCAGTTTGAAGGCATCTCTCCCCGGTGGCACGACTCTTCATAATACTAAGGCAGGCAAGAGAGACTCCAGTCCACTCCGCAGTGAAATCTGCACCAGGTTTGAGGCATCACCCAAAGCTGCTGGAGTAAAATCTTACCAAGCGCAAATGCTTTTTAAATTGAACTCTGCAGGTTTGCAGTGCATGCTGGCGAGGGACAGAGGCAGAGATGGCATGCCGGGGACCCTGTGCCTTGACTGCTGTCCTAGGTTCAGGGTAGGAATAGGAAGCAATAAATAGACACACAGCATCCCCTGTGGGACTGGGTACTTTCAAGGAAGATGGTTCATCAGGATAAATAATATGGCTCCATCCAGGACGAACTCTCTTCTCATCTTCTACCTCGGTTTCTTGCTGCTCATCCATTTAAAAAGTAAGCATTCCTATTCCCTTTCACCTGTCATGTCGCTTGTCCTGCATCGTACGTAAACAGGTCTATTTCTGAAAGCAAGCTTGTAAAACTTGAAAAGACATAAGAATTAGTTCCGGAGTTATCAAAAATGAGTGAACAGATGGCTTCGAGGTCATAAGAGTTCAAGGGAGTCAGAAAGAGAGGAGTAACTTTGGAAATGAATGAATGGTTATTTGGAGGATCCAGAAGAACTAATACTGCTGAATGCATCAAGGTTTGTTGTCCTTTTAAAAACACATTATCCAAATCTTATCAAACTTAAATAGTCAGGTGGTTTAACTTTCTACATTTGATAACGGCATATTAATGGGTTTGTTGCAAATATTTTGTCAGCTTTCAATTTCTTTATTCCTTTTTTTCTCCTTCAAAGCGAGGGAGCTCTCCAACCATCTCATAAAAGCCTCTTTGAGGAGGGACCCCAAGAATTTGGTCAATTAATGTCACATTGTACTTTGATTTTACTTTGTAAAATTTGACCTTCTATTATGAGGAGGAAAGTGTTTGCTATTGATTTTAAAAAGAATAAAAGAAAAGCCCTTTCAACAAAGTATTGTCGAAGGCTTTCATGGCTGGAATCACTAGGTTCTTGTGGGTTTTTTCGGGCTATAGGGCCATGTTCTAGAGGCATTTCTCCTGACGTTTCGCCTGCATCTATGGCAAGCATCCTCAGAGGTAGGGAGGTCTGTTGGAATTAGGACAATGGGTTTATATATCTGTGGAATGGCTGGGGTGGGGCAAAGAGCTCTTCTCTGCTGGAGCTAGGTGTGAATGTTTCAACTGACCACCTTCATTAGCATTTGAAGGCCTGGCTGAGCCTGGGAAAATCTTTTGTTGAGAGGTGTTAAGCTGTGCCTGGTTGTTTCCTCTCTGCTGTTTTGCTGTTGTAATTTTAGAGTTTTTTAATACTGGTATTAAAACTCAAAAAAAAAACTCTAAAAAAACTCTAAAATTACAACAGCAAAACAGCAGAGAGGAAACAACCAGGCACATCTTAACACCTCTCAACAAAAGATTTTCCCAGGCTCAGCCAGGCCTTCAAATGCTAATGAAGGTGGTCAGTTGAAACATTCATACCTAGCTCCAGCAGAGAAGAGCTCTTTGCCCCACCCCAGCCATTCCACAGATATATAAACCCATTGTCCTAGTTCCAACAGACCTCACTATCTCTGAGGATGCTTGCCATAGATGCAGGCGAAACGTCAGGAGAAATGCCTCTAGAACATGGCCCTATAGCCCAAAAAAACCCACAAGAACCTAGTGATTCCAGCCATGAAAGCCTTTGACAATACAAAGTGTTTGCTATTGATTTTAAAAAGAATAAAAGAAAAACCCTTTCAACAAACTTCCCCTTTACAGGGCAAATAGGAGCAGGAAAGCTTTCTAAAGGGTTTTTTTTTCATCATTTCATCAGACAGATGATGCTGTATGTTGTTGTAAATTTAAATGAAGTTCCGCTGGCAAAGCCGATGTGTCTGCTTAGAAGGGGAAGGCTCTATAGAACAGACTTTGAAACCATGTGCGTATGTGTCTGAAAAGGTTGTGCGCTTTGTGCCGGCTGAATCTGAATTTTAATCAGACAAGCTGCCAACAGCTGCCATTAAACAAGGAGACTTGGCATTAGCGACCGGTGTCGTGTAATCTGGGTCACCTTCTGTTGTATTGTCAAATTGTTCCTACACACATAGGTTTATAGGCTGGGATAAAGCAGGTGCTACAAGTTGTAGCATGAGGTGAGGATGCAAACTAGGAAAACTTTAGGAGTTATGTATAAATGGTTGCACAATAAGCACTACCTTCAAATTGTCATTGAGTCTATATATCCATCTACGAGGGGTATTTTTTAAGTAAGGTCCGTTTTGTTGTAGACACTAGTAGTTCACGCGCATACCGCAACGAGCGCGTGCGTCGTGTACCGGCATGCCTCGGGAACAACTGTGCTCGTTTCCGCTCTGTAGCTAACCTGTACGGTTCTGTTCTGTGCTTTAAAAATGTTTAAGACTATCAACTCACCCTCTGCATGTGAGGTTCGCTCAGTGATACGGTTTTTGTCAGCAAGGAACCTGCCTGCTGCAGAAATTCATCGACAGATTTGTGAAGTGTACGGTGATACTGTTATGAGTGAAAGCAAAGTGCATAAGTGGGTACGACAATTCAAAGATGGCCGTGACAACGTCCATGATGAGGACAGCTCCGGTCGCCCTTCTTTGATTACAGTGAACTCTTGGTTATTGGAGCAGGCAGAAGAGGGTATTTTAAAATTGGTTCAGAGGTATGATAAGTGTTTGAACTAACTTGGCAACTATGTTGAAAAATAGAGTGAAGTGTGTACTTTCTGAAAATAAATTTACTTTTTTGAAATAAACTTTTGTTGTGTACTTATGTTCAAACGGACCTTACTTAAAAAAATACCCCTCGTATATAAATAAAAATGTAATGTACGTTTGTGGGATTAACAACTCAAAAACCAGTGGGCAAATTGACACCAAATTTGGATGGCATACAACCCAATGTATGTCCTTCACTCAAAAATTTCTGATTTTGTCATTTGGGAGTTGGAGTTCTTGGGATTTATAGTTCACCTACAATCAAAGAACATTCTGAACTCCACCAATGACGATTAAAGCAACAGCTTCGCGGCCAGAAAAAGTTAAATAGCCTCTGTCTATGTCTGTATATGTTGTATGCTAAAATTGGCATTGAATGTTTGCCATATATGTGTACACTGTAATCCGCCCTGAGTCCCCTGTGGGGTGAGAAGGGCGGAATATAAAAGCTTTAAGTAAATAAATAAATAATGATGGAATTGGACCAAAGGTGACACACAGGACTCCCATGACCAACAGAAGGCTAGAACGGTTTGGTGGACATTGACCTTGATTTTGGGAGTTGTAGTTCACTTACATCCAGAGAGCACTGTGGATGCAAACAATGATGGATCTGGACCAAACTTGGCACAAATATTCCATATGCCCAAATATGAACACAGATGGAGTTTGGGGGAAATAGACCTTGACATCTGGGAGTTGTAGTTACTGGGATTTATAGTTCACCTACAATCCAAGAGCATTCTGAACCCCACAAACACAGAATTGGGACAAATTTCCCACACAGAACCCCCCATGACCAACAGAAAATACTTTATTTATTTATTTATTTATTTATTTATTTATTTATTTATTATTCAAACATATGCTGCCACTCCACTGGGGCTCGGAGCGGCTTACAAGAATGGCTAAAATCTAACACAATTTAAAAACAATTTAAAACAATTTAAAAACAGCAATAGCAAAAGTCAAAGGCCTATCGAAACAGGTATGTCTTACATGCCCTGCAGAAAGCTGATAAGTCCCGCAAGGCACGGACTTAAGGTGGCAGAGTATTCCAGAGCAATGATGCCACTGCTGTAAAGGCTCTGCGTCTGGTTGCTGTTAGACGCAAGGTCTTGACACTGGGAATTTCCAATAGATCTTGGTCCTCAGAACGGAGGAATCTCGGGGGTTGGTAGGGGGTGAGGCAGTCCCTCAGGTACATAAGGCCCCAGACTTAAGGCCATCCAGTCCAACTCTCTTCACCAGGGCAAGAAAATCTAATCAAAGCCCTCCTGACAAAGAGCCACCCGCCCATAGATATAGATAGATATATATGATTCACACGCACACACAGATATAGTATCATAGATTTGAAAGGGACCCCTAAAGAAGGACAATGATAGGTTGCATATTCCAGAGCAGGCAAACCAGACAATCTCCACATCAACATTGACAAAGAAACAAGAAGAAATACTGTTTACCCACAAGCATAAAGAAATTACATAGATAAGAAACCATTACTTTATTTTCCAGATCACCAGACTGGGCCACAGCAACCTAGTCCACCTCTCGTCTTTTTATCAATCAGGTTCAAGTACTTAATTCTCAGTCTTTTCCCATTCCAAACAAATTTCATTAGTTCTTTATTCCATTTTTAAAAGATGTTTGGTTAATTATAGGTATATTTTGAAATAAAAATAATAACTTTGGTAAAACACTCATTTTTATGAGAGCAATCCTTCTTAACAAGAATAAGTTCAAAAATTTCCATTTCTTAAGACCTTTCTGTATATTATTCCAAGACATTTCATAGCCCCCCTTGCAGAATACACAAAATAGGGAAATATTTCATATTGCAAAATGCATTTTTATATTTTTATGTTTATAAGGACAATGTTTGAGTACTTTGAAAATGCAGAAGTAATTTCCTGAAACTTCAAACACACAGAGAGAAGAAGCTTGCAGTCTCATGAAATTGTTTACCTGCAATACTTCCATGAAAAAAAAAAAACATTTTTTTACATATGGTGCATGGATGAAGGGATGTAAAATATGAGTTGGAAGGAGTTATGTCAGAGGGCCTGTCCAGACAGTACTTTTATTGTGGTAATTCCCGCAATAAAGAAGGGGCTGTCCAGACAACATTCTAAAGAGTCCCGAATTAATTCGCTACAAGCCAAGCAAACCTGGTTTGTAGCTAATTAATTCGATAGAGGATTTATTCCGCACCTTCTTGGAGGGTGCAGGATAGACTGCAGTCCAGACACCATTTCCACAGTTTTCCGTACTAAATCAGTCTGGAAAACTGTGGTAATACCCACCCTCCCCCCAAAACCCACAGACTTTTGAAAAGTAAAATAAACTTACCCAGCCTCCAGTATAATCTTGGAGCAGCTCCCCTGGCATGTAGAAATTAGCACCAGGAGAGCGGGGGGGGGGGGGGGGGGGGGGGGGGGGGGCGTGGGACGAGGAAAATCACTCCCCCACCCCCATTCTCCTGATACGTCATTTCTACAGTCCAGGAGAGCTGCTCCAAAAGTGTGCTGGAGGCCAGGTAAGTTTATTTTACTTTTCTTTTAAAAATATTTTATGGATTGGTTTTATAGAATTAATATATGCACTTATAGAATTAATATATGTACTAAAATTTTA